TATAGATGGTGGCCTTCGGCCCATCCCGAAGCTCTGCCGGGGTTGTGGGTTAGGGGCCTTTTGGATGTTCGGTTGGATATCGTGGAAGGCCTCTCGGGGGCCTGTCGGAGGTAGGTTTGAGGCCTCTTGGGGGCCGTTTGGGGGGCTCTTTTTGGGTCTCCTTGTGGGCCTCTGGGGGGCTTCGTGGGGCCTCTAGGGCTCTCTTGGGGGCCTCTTTGGACTTCCTGGGGGCCTCTTGGGGCGGAAGGCTCGAATTGTTGGTTCGTGTTCCCCCTCTTGGGTCCCTCTTGGGGCCGTTTTGGGGCCCTCTTGGACGATGTTGGGCGCCTCTTGGGCCGTTTTGGGACCCTCTTGGACCGTCATGGGGCCCTCCTGGGGGCCTCTTGGGCCGTCTTGGGGCGATCTTGGGGCCTCTGGGGCCATCTTGGAGCGTCGGAAGCTCGAAACAGCGAGAACGCGAAAATCATAGAAATGCATAAGGAACATCAATGATTTTTGCCCCGTCGGGCCCTCTTGGGGGTCCTCTTGGCGCTTCCTTGGGGTCTCTTGGGCCGTCTTGGGGCCATCTTGGGCGTCTTGGAGCGCTCTTGGGCTGTCTTGGAGGCCTCTTGGACCCTCTTGGACGCTTCCTGGAGACCTCTTGGCCCGTCTTGGGGCCCTCTAGCCTTTGGAAAAGTCATACGAGGCAGCCCAAGAATGCGTGGGATTTGAGAATTTGGGGTCCCTGTTTTGGGAAGACTTTCATCCCAGGGAGTCCTGGGTGCAGAGAACAGAAGACACATGCGAGCCCGAAAACGCCACTTCGGGCCTTGCGGCACGGTGGCGAAGCCATCTATATATACATATATATATATGTATCGATATAGGTATGCACATTTAGATACATACGTAGATGTATGTATTTTACGTGAATATATATATATATATATATATATATATATATATATATATGTATGTTCCCCAATCAGAGCTTGCCTCTGTAGGGGTCCGAGCGGATTCTAAAGGGTTAGGATTTGTGCGGCAGAATTTCGGTGGCCAGTGGCCGGGTGGCCGAGTGCCCGGGTGCCCGTGGGTGCCCGGTGGTGCCCGGGTGCCCGTGGTTGCCCGGCTGCCCGGGTGCTCGGGGGTGCCCGGAGGTGCCCGGGGGTGCCTGGGTGCCCTATAGCCGTAAAGCCTTATAGCCTTATAGCTCTAGAGCCTAATAGCCCAATAGCCCATACAGCCCATATAGCCTTATAGCCCAATAGCCCTATAGCCCTATAGCTCTATGGCCCCATAGCCCTAGAGCCCTAGAGCCCTATAGCTCTAGAGCCCCATAGCCCTATAGCCCTATAGCTCTATAGCCCTATGGCCCTATAGCTCTACAGCCCTATAGCCGTATAGTCCTCTAGCCCTATAGCCCAATAGCCCAATAGTCCTATATCCTTATACCCCTACAGCCCATACAGCCCTTTAGCCCCATAGCCCTATAGCACTATAGTCCTATAGCCCCATTGCCCCAACCAACATCGGATTTTGTTTTCTCCGATATGGTACTTTTACGTGACTATATGTGTAAATTTGTATGTGTGTAAGTATAAATATACATATAGGCATATAGGTCACTGTATATGAACATGCATATGTACGTAATGTACATGTATAGGTATACGTACATGTACATACTTTCACGTACACCTCATGTATATGCATGCATACATAACTATACCATTATATGTATATGTATACGTGCGTATATCTGTATGACTATGCGCATACATGCATATCTGTATGTATATGTAGATGCTGATGTGTATGTCTGTGTGTGCACATGTCTTTGTACATGTACATACACATGTCTATGTGCATGCATTTGTATATGTGCATATTTATGCTTATGCGTATACAATATGTACATGCGTATGCAGATCCAACTGCTTATAACCATGTGTATGCATATGTTTGTTGCTATGCGTACGCTTATGTATATGTATGTGTATACGTACACACATCTATGCATTTGCACATGTATACGTATTTGCATATGTATATGTATGTGCATATATATATATATATATATTTACATATATATATATATATCTATTTATATGTATGTATGTATGTATATACACGCGCATATGTATATGTATATGCAGATGTATATGTTTACATTTATGTGTCTGCATAGGTTTATGTACATGTAAATGCATATGGTGACGTGTGTATGTATGTACACTAATATTGTTATGCCATCTGTCTCTCTCTCTCTCTCTCTCTCTATATATATATATATATCTATATGCATATATGAGTTTGCTTCCCTTCAGAGGTGTGCGCGGGCTGTGCAGAGTCCGGACACGGGGCTCCTTACAGCATGAGCCCGGGCGCGGGACGAGGCCCCGCGGTGCGGGCGGCCGCCAGGACGAGCGGCGGCCCCCGCCGCCGCCGCCGCTCCCGAGGACCTGCGCTGCCCGGCGGGGGGTGGGGTGGCAGGCCGGGCCTCGGCGTTCTCATCCGCAGAGGGTGCCCGTGCACGGCCTCGAGGGGAAGGGGGCACGGCAGAAGCAGAAGCCTTCGGAGCTCCGCGGGGACGTCTCGATTCGGCGCACAGGCTCAGTATCGTTCAAGCGATCCCCATCCCCATCCCCATCCCCATCCCCTGCGAGACCACCACCAAATTACCCCCCCCGTTGGGGATACACCCCTCGAAGCCCGAAGGGAACGGCCTATAGCCCCATCTAGGGAGGTAAATCGGCCAGTGGGGCCAAGTCCACGCTGGTGGGGATGGGTATCGGTTAAAAGATGGTCAGAGGTCCCCCCCCCCCCCCCTGGCGGCGCCTCCGGCGCCGGCCCCTGGCGCGCTCCGTGCGCCAGGCGCCATTGGACGGGGGTCCAGCGCCGATCCAATATATCCACGCGGACCTCCGAGAGTTTATGTTTGATGCTGTCCTGTGCTCCTCTGCCACCGTGCAGTGCTTGTCACCATGCTTGGCCCTGCTGGCCCTGGCCACGCATGGCGGCCATGCTGCAGGTGCCTTCTGTGTCCTCTCGTGCCATCGGCAGGAGGCGATGAGGACGCTTGTGGCGGTGTTCTGAGGAGGGCCCGTATATCCGAGGCCATTGACAAAAAAAGCAGACCGCCGGCCAGACCATTCCCTAAGTCTGGCCTCTGAGGGCTCCTTCCGGGCCCGCGGACCATCTAACAGCTGCCCAGGGCGAACGATATGGTCCCAGGGACGATGTGTCGAGAGGTCCGGGAGCCCACGCCACGCCGAAGCACGACGTCGGATGCCTGGGGAGGAGGATGCGACGGGAGCATGGGGGGCACGGGGGGTGAATGGCGGCGGGGAGGTGCAGGAGGCGTACGACCGGGTACTCTTACTCTCAGGAGGGGAAAAAACACACAGACACAATTAATTGTCGACTTCCCAAAAAATCTGGGAAAATATGGGAAGTGGGCGTGTCGTGCCGCTGGTCGCGCCGCCGCTTCTGGCCCACTGCGCGTCGGCGCGACGCGCCAACCACGTCCAAGGTGATCGTGTGGCGAGAAGAACTACAAAATGATCGCCGTCGCGGGCGATGTGATCAGGCAAGGTGGCTGGCGGCGCTGCTCCATACCAGCCAGTAGTCCAACGCCGCTCACCATCATAGGGGGCAATCCCTGAACCTGCCGACCGCAGCGAGGGGAACAGTGCTCTTACTCGGCGTGTCGCGCCGCCGCTTCTGGCCCGCTGGGCCTCGGCGCGGCGCGCCAGCCACGGCCAGATTTCGAGGCGTCGAGGTCCCGGAGCCTCCCGCCCCGCGGAGCGGAGCGGCGCGCCGGCAGCTTGCGGGGCACGGCGCGGCGCCAGGGCCGCCTCGGAGGCACGCTGAGCAAGCGTTCCTCAGAGGAGGAGGGAGGATGATGATGATGATGATGATGATGATGATGATGATGATGATGATGATGATGATGATGATGATGATGATGATGATGATGATGATGATGATGATGATGAGGAGGAGGAGGAGGAGGAGGAGGAGGAGGAGGAGGAGGAGGAGGAGGAGGAGGGGGATGAGACGCGGGAGGGGGAGAAAAGGGGAGGAGCGGTGCCAGCAGGCGGAGGCGGACGGCGGAGGCAGAGCGGCGGCACTTTCGGAAGGCGCGCCTGCCTGACTCCGCCGCGGCGCCGCGAGCGGCCGCAACGCCAAAACGCGTGTGCGTGCGCGCGTGTGCGTGTGCGTGCGCGTGCGCGCGTGCGTGTGCGAGTGCGTGTAGTGTCGTAATACAATATGCCGATCGGGATCACTAGGAAACGTCGTGTTACCCTTCGCTGGCCGCTTCATTCGAGTGCAGTGTGTGTGACAGTTCAGGCTTCACGCATGTAGCATCGTCCGACGTCTTCTCCGGCACAGGCTCCCGTTTCCCGACTCCGGGTCTGCCCAATTTCGCGACATCACTCGATGAGCGGCTGGCCAGCGTTTTCTTCTTGCACAGGTCATGTATATCAGTCATATCGGCCAAGCATTTTGCCACATTGTGATGAGGATTTCATTGTCTCACTGTGGTTGTAATTACTTCACTTTTGCGTGCAACTGTCAGGCGGTTCGGCCCCACCCTGCCGCACCCACGCGGTGCATGATGCAGGCCGATGCCCGATGCCCGATGTTTGAACATCGTGCAGCGTAATCGTCTGTACATCGCTGATGGAGGTTGTTTACATTGCTGTGCCCAAGAGGCTTCTGTACTTTGCATGAAGAAGGACCAAGTTGGACTTACTCCCCGTGGCCAGGCAGAGAGCAAGATGAAGGGGGTGATGAGGAGGAGGGGCTAGTGGTGGAAGGGGAGGAGGCGGAACAGATGGAAGAGGCGGAGGAGTAGGAGGAGGAGGAGGAGGAGGAGGAGGAGGAGGAGGAGGAGGAGGAGGAGGAGGAGGAGGAGGAGGAGGAGGAGGAGGAGGAGGAGGAGGAGGAGGAGGAGGAGGAGGAGGGAGGAGGAGGAGGAGGAAGAGGAGGAGGAGGAGGAGGAGGAGGAGGAGGAGGAGGACGACGCCGCCGCCGACGACGACTGTCGACCCAGGAAGCTGGGCGGAAGCCGCTCTGCGCCCGGCTTCCCCGCGCTGGAGAAGCGCAGGGCGGTGATGCCGCTCCCCAGGCGGCCCTCGACCTCCCCAGCCGCGTGCCCCCTCCCCCCTGTGGGCGAGGAGTATACGAAGGGCAACGCCAGCGGGGTGGGAAAGGCTCAGGTTCGAGGTGCGAGGTCTCCTGGCGTCTCCGCTGGCTCTCGGGGGCCTTCCGCCAGCTCCAGGAGGCCCTCCACCGGGCTGCGACTCGCCGAGGACGTTGCGGGGTTCGCCCGACCGGCCGCTGGAGGCCCGAATCATGACCCGAAAATCACGCAGGGGGGGAAGCCTCGACCCCCAGTCGCCCATACACTCTAGGCGATGCTTAAGGAAACCAGAGTTTTCGGCCAGAGTCTCGATTATTCTTGATGTTTCAATGTAAATCCCAAGATCTGAATAGACATTCTGGGCTTTTATTCCAATTCTGAGACTATGAATTTCTTAACCCATGATTTCTAAAGCATTTCGCAGGGTGTACATCGCCCATAGGGGTCCGAAATCGCCCACCCCGCCCAGGGCCTCTCGCCGATCCATCGGCGAGGCATCGCCCTCCCCTGGGCCGGCACCCCCCCCCATGTCGCTGCCGCTCAGGGCAGAGGAGGGCAGGAGGCGAGAGGCGCCACAGGCCCGGCCGGCTGGCGTGCTCCAGAGCGGGCCCGGCCTTCGGCGCTGCCCCTCGCCCCCTGGGCGGAGGCCTGCGGAGCGCGGCGGAGGCAGAGCGGGCCTGGCGCTTCCGCCGGAGGCTCGGCGGAGGGGGCCGGGGGCGGAAGCCCAAGCTCGGCGCAGCATGTTTTTTTTTTTTTTTTTTTTTTTTTTTTTTTCCCCCCCCCCGGGGCCCAGCGTTTCCAGGCTCGGCCAGCTCGGGCCGTTAAGAGTGGCCCAGGGCGCCGTCGGACCGGCTCGCGCGCGCCGCCGAGGCACACTTCCTCGCTCGGGGCTTCCGCCGTGCTCGAGGGTCCACTTCGGGCTTCCCGTCGCTCCTGGCTACCTGCGCTGGCCGCCCTCTGTCTTCCGGGGTCCGACAGGGCAGCCCCCCTGGCACTGTGTTCGTGCGCGCACCGCGCGACCCTGCTGCCCGCGTGCCCTGTCTCCCGGAGCCCCGCCCTTCAGTCCTCGCTCCGGGGAGCCCTCCTGACTTGTTGCAGCGGAGGCCCATGCCAAGGAACACCCTGCTTGCCTGCAGGGTGCCCTGGGTGTCATCCTTGGTTTCGATGGTCTTGCCATGGGAAGCGTGGCCTTCGCACGCCATCAAAAATCGGTGGAGGTCCTGGAGTCTCAGGGCTGGGTTTCGTCTGGAAAGTTTCTGATGGCCAGGCCCCTACTGTTAAGTCGGGCCTGTCCCTCTACAGGGGGACTATTCAAAAATAGTTTAAAAAATAGTCTGTGGACGATTGTTTGACAATTTTTGGGTATTTTCGAGTATTTTTGATTTTGTTTTGATTTTTTTAAAATTTTTCGTCCAAAATCCGCCTGTAGGAGGACAGGCCCGAGCTAAGCCTACTGTAATATGACGAAGCGATTAGGCAATGTCCTGGTGGGGGGGGTCGCACCGCCCCGCTGGGAAGTGGACGATTGAAACGACCTGTTACCGGCTCTTCGCCGTCGCCGTCGCCGTCGAGGCCGCCAGGCCGCACCCGGCGTCCACGACGATGACTCGATCGGAGGTTGGGGGGTGAGATCGCAGTGGAACGGCGAGCCCCCCACCAGGAAATCGGTTTCGGTTTCGGGTTCGTGTCGTGCGTGCGCCGCACGCACGACACGCATCGAAACTCGTGCGGCCGCCGCGCCTCGAAGCTCGCGCGTTGCCGCAACATGATTCGCCAGTGCGTGGACCGCACGTCGGGCTGAGCAACGCCAAATCGCACTAAACAGCACTGAGTAGCACAAGACGAAGACCACAAGTGTTAAAAGAGGCTCCCATGATTTGCCACCTAAGTGCGGGCGAGGCGAAGCTGCGTGGGCGGGCGAGAGGAATTACTCCGCTGTGGCTAGGGAGGAGGAGGAGGAGGAGGAGGAGGAGGACGCGGAGGAGGAGGAGGAGGAGGAGGAGGAGGAGGAGGAGGAGGAGGAGGAGGAGGAGGAGGAGGAGCCCTTGACCGGTCCGCCCTCCAGGTGGTCCGGCGCTGGTGCGGTTGTCCCGCCGTGGTGTCCCGTCGGTGTCCCGTCGGTGTCCCGTCGGTGTCCCGTCGGTGTCCTGTCGGTGTCCCGTCGGTGCCCCGTCGATGCACCGTCGGTGCCCCGTCGGTGTCCCGTCGATGTCCCGTCGGTGTCCCGTCGGTGCCCCGTCGGTGTCCCGTCGGTGCCCCGTCGGTGTCCCGTCGATGTCCCGTCGGTGTCCCGTCGGTGTCCCGTCGGTGCCCCGTCGATGTCCCGTCGGTGTCCCGTCGGTGTCCCGTCGGTGTCCCGTCGGTGCCCCGTC